ATTGCCTTTAGGCATTTTCATGCAAACACTGCCTTTTCAGAGAAAAGGCAGTGTTTACATTGCCCCTAGGGACACCTCCAAGTGGTCACTCCTCAGATGGCCACTGGAGGTGCTTCCTGGCTTCCTGGCTCAGTGCTGCACAGTAGGCAGCACTGCCGTTCAGCGTCTCCACTCTCTGCATGGGGACGCTGAATTTTCCTCATAGAGATGCACTGATTCAAAAGGAGGTGCTGATTGGCCAAAACATAATTTGCCCACCATCCCCTCCCCCCGCCCCCCCCCCCTTGCCGATTTTTGCTAATCCAAGTTTTGGATTGGTTAACAATCTGCAATTCTGATGATGTCACCAAGGGGGCAAGGCCAGCGCCTGCAGACTCGCGCAGCACAGGGAATAAGGTGAGTTTTATTAACATTATTAACATTAAAGGGGGCTAAGGGGGTCACTATACATGTTTGTGTTCCTGACCCTATTGTGTTCCTTTAAAATCAACACAGGCAATCACAGTGAACCCACATATCAAACATTTTTAATCAAATAAAGTAACCACTTTGACTGTGGACACTTTGCTCGTCTCTACAATCAAAGGTCATTTCAGCAACACTGTATTGATACCAGACTTGTGAGTCTTCCTTCCTCTTTCCTTTTATTGTATTGAATAATATTAGTAAATAATGCTATTATAATAATCATATTCGGTGTTTCTACTTGCTATAATTCTATATCAAGATGAATTAAAGGTAATTAATTAAGACAGCGCACCCATGATCATTATTCTCCACCCTCAACCAGTCTCCATTCCGTAGCAAATCTAGCCAACACAGGAAGTCTAATTCCTATTCATCCAATTAAATCATTTCCTTTTCATAGATGAGCTCCAAATCTCAGGAATAAACCTCATCTTGTTAGAACGCGTTGAAATCTAGGCCAGGTGTCTCTTACTATAACAAAAGCCACTTTTGCTTTGAGGCTGATACGTTCAGAAAGGCCTTCATTCATCTCATTTCACTACCATTAGAAAAATATCAGTGGGTTTACTCGGTTAACCAGAGAAAGGAATTATATTCTAAGACAGGAATTACATTCTAAGACAGGAATTACATTGTAAGGCTTTTTGTGTTTTGTAGCCATTTGTGTTCCGAGTAAAATGTATGGACCATACAAGCTTCGCAGTCGTGACCAAGATCTGACATTATGAGTTGTACAAGTCGTTACTTTGGTGGTTTGATGATCTCAGTACCAATTACTGACATTTTTCAACTTTAGCTTAATGAATCAGTTTTAG